ATATACATCAAAGAATCCATTCAGGAGAAAAACCTTATAATTGCCTGGAGTGTGGAAAGAGTTTCAGTCAAAGGGGAAGCCTTCATATACATCAAAGAATCCATTCAGGAGAAAAACCTTATAATTGCCTGGAGTGTGGAAAGAGTTTCAGTCAAAGGGGAAGCCTTCATATACATCAAAGAATCCATTCAGGAGAAAAACCTTATAATTGCCTGGAGTGTGGAAAGAGTTTCAGTGAGAGGGGAAGCCTTTATATACATCAAAGAATCCATTCAGGAGAAAAACCTTATAATTGCCTGGAGTGTGGAAAGAGTTTCAGTCAAAGGGGAAGCCTTCATACACATCAAAGAACCCATTCAGGAGAAAAACCTTATAATTGCCTGGAGTGCGGAAAGAGTTTCAGTTCCAGGGGAAGCCATCATAGACATAAAAAAATCCATTCAGGAGAGAAACCATATAAATGCCTGGAGTGTGGAAAGAGTTTCAGTCAAAGGGGAAGCCTTTATACACATCAAAAAATCCACTCGGGAGAGAAACCCCGTGAATGCCCACAGTGCGGAAAGTGTTTCATTAGAAATGGACGTCTTAAATGCCATCAAAGAATCCATACAGGAGAGAGGCCTTATAACTGCCTGGAGTGTGGAAAGAACTTCACTCAGAGACCGCATCTCAGTCAATATCAAAAAATTCACACAGGAGAAAAACCTTATAAATGCCTGGAGTGCAGAAAGAGTTTCAGCCATAGGGGAATCCTTTATACACATCAAAGAATCCGTTCAGGAAAAAAACCACGTATATGCCCGGAGTGCGGAAAGAGTTTCAGTTGCACGGGAAGCCTTTATACACATAAAAAAATCCATTCAGGAGAGAAACCATATAAATGCCTGGAGTGTGGAAAAAGTTTTACTAATAGTGGAGCTCTCAGTCAACATCTAAGAATTCACACAGGAGAGAAACCGTATAAATGCCTGGAGTGTGGAAAGAGTTTCAGTCTGAGTGGAAACCTTTATAGACATCAAAAAATCCATTCAGGACAAACCATATAAATGCCTGGAGTGTGGAAAAAGTTTTAGTAATATGTCAGTCACCATCATAAAATCTGCATAGGAAAGCAACCCTATAAATGCATAGAATGTGGGAAAAGCTTCAGACAAACTAAATATCTCAGAATATATCAAGGAGTTCACACTGGAGAAAAACCCTATATGCCTGGAGCGTGGAAAAGGTTTCAGTCAGTTAGGACATCTCAGCCAATATCAACGAATTCACACGGTAGAAAAACCGTATAAATATCTGGAGTGCGGAAAATCCTTCACAACAAATGGAAGCTTTAACTATCAAAGAATCCGTTCAGGAGAAAATCCAGATAAATGCCTAGAGTGTGGAAAGAGCTTTAGCGACGGTGGACACCTTAGTTGACATGAAAGAATTTACACTGGAGAAAACCCTATAAATGCCTCGAGTGTGGAAAGAGCTTTACTGAGGGTTGCTCCCTCAGTCAACATCAAAGAACTCACACAGGAGAAAAGCAGTAGAAATGCCTGGACTGTGGAAGGAGTATCGGTAAGAGGGGACTCACCTTTCTAGACATCAAAGAATCGGTTCAGGAGAAAAACCTTATATACGCCCAGAGTGCAGAAAGAGCTTTACTGAGAGTGGATACCTCAGTCAAGATCATGTCAGGATTTTCATTCTCATGGGAAAGGATTCATCCCGTTATCTTTACAACAATA